TGCTGCTTTAAAAATTAGTTTAAGGACAGTTAGTCGTATTTCCGAGGGTGTGAAAAGTGATGCAAATTTAGAATCGCCCAAGAAAAAGCGGAGTTATATTAAACGTGTAACCAACACAGCGACATTGGATACAAGTGCCATTCGAGAAGTGATCTATAATATGTATCACAAAAGTAAGATCTTATTATAATAACTTATCAGAAATTTGCATTAATTTGTTAACTAAATTATAATGTCATATTACACATGGTTTCAGAAGAACAAGTTACGATACAAACTTTATGGTCTCGATTAAGAGATAGGGCATTATTTGATGGTAGTGCCACGTCTTTAAGGCGGTTGCTTAGAGATCTTGGATTTAAGTGGCTTAAGGACAATCCGCGACGAGGGCTCATGGAACTACCAAGTATAGCTTTGAAAAGGGTGGAATTTCTAAGGCAATACAATCAAGCCAAGGTTGAGGCCTTATACCAGTTTGTCTTCCTCGATGAAACTTGGTTATTTTAAAATGGGACCATAGGTCGCTCTTGGCAAAATGGAAACCAAAAAAGCGTGAAAGCTATTAAAACAGATGGTAAAAGGTATGTACTTTTACACAATTTGCACTATAAAATTTAAAACTAATATATTTTAGATACATTATATTACATGCTGGAAATGAAAATGGGTTTATTGAGGGTAGTGAAGCGATATTTTCTTCGAAAACAAAATTGAGCGATTACCATGGAGAGATGAACCAGGACAATTTTTTGAAATGGTTTCAACATCAGTTATTAGAAAAATTGGAGAGTCCATCTATGATTATACTGGATAACGCCCCTTATCACAGCATGATATTGAACAAAGTGCCCAACAATGCATGGACAAAAAAAATATCCAAGACTGGTTGACAAATCAAAACATACCATTTTTAAACACAATGTTTAAAACAGAGCTATTGAGTATTGTTGCTCGGTACATAATGCTTCTTAATTATATATATTTTGGTCGACAGTTTATATTTCTTTTGTTTATTCCTATTCTTAAAATAACTGCTTTTTTAGAAACAAACCACCTAAAATATACGTGATTGATGAATTGGCGGAACAACATGGGCACAAAGTTCTTCGTCTGCCTCCTTACCATTGTATATTTAACCCTATTGAGTTAATTTGGGGCATAGCAAAACGTTACTATAACAGACATATTGGTAGAGATGGTAACAGTGAAAAAGACTGTTTGGATATGTGGAACGAGGCTCTACAAACGGTTACCCCAGACATGTGGAAAAATAGTGTTCGACATACTAAGCAAGAAATTTTTAAATGGTATGAAAGAGAACGAATTTTTGATCGACCAGACATCGAACCTTTAATAATCAACTTTGAGAGTGATGAAGATTCAGATTCAGACAGCGCTGAAGAAAGAAACTCCGACTAACTTTATTGTACAGAAAAAGCTTACACCAGTAGCTTACCTAATTTTAGAATGCATTTTTCTGTATGAATTCTGTAAAATAAATACCATGCATAAAATTTGGAGGACCCCATTTGGATTTTTATTCAGTACCTTTAAGCTATCAATTAAATATGGTAGTTTCATAGTGTCATCTGATCAATAATTGTCATACTTAATGATTATGCAAGTACAGATCTATAATTTTATTATACTATTATTTTTGTTCTCATTTGAGGTTAATATTGCTTATAAACCTAGATATGTAAATAATAAATTTTATTATTTTACAAAAAGTTTGGCAACAATGTAAATTTTTCAACACACCCACCTTGATGACGTGCACGCCGCTTTGTTTGGCGTTGACTATAAATCGTTGTCCATATATGATATTTAATATACACTGCTCCCCCCCAAACGGGTCAAGTTAGCAAACTGACTCGACGCATTAATATATTTTAACGTAAGAGTGACAGTTGAAAATTTCAAGATGACAGCTGGGCGTTGGTATACTATAGCTTTTGATGATAAGTTGTTAAGTTACGAGTATAATAAATTCAATCTACAAATACGCTAAGCTTTGATAACCTGACTGTCCGCCATTTAGAGAGATAGTAGATTATGTTAAGATACATTCATTTATGTTTCGTCATCACAAATTTCAGACAGGTATCTCAACCGTTTAAAAAAATCTTTGTGGGAGGGCAGATATTTTTGAAAAGCGCCGTATTCTGGTTGATGTGAACTTTTCAAGTCACTAAAAAATTCCAAAAACCTGCATCAATGCTAAACTTGAACTATATTAAATGACTATATACCAAAGCCTATAAGTAATGATGTTTCTTACAGACCGTAGTAGTCTTACGATAGTATACGATCTTAGCGCATCTCACTCACATTCACGGTATTCCGTATCAGTCGTGTATCGTGACTTAGAAGTAACAGTTACTAAATCACAGTTCATGAAAGATCTACCATCACTAGTGCAAATGGGGATGTAATACTTATTCGCCACTCCCCGTAGTCACAACGTTACGGCGCCGAATAGCACAGCAATGACAACATCTGGATGCTATACCATGTGGCCGCAGCCTACGTAGATTCGCAGACGACACACTCCATTTAATTATTATTATCCGAGCAATTAGATAAATGTTAACCATGTTAGGAAACAATCCCAAGGTCCAATCGTAGTGGAATCTCGTGGGAGGGCCCGCGCGCCGAGCCTCTTCAAGAGCTCATCGCAGCGTCGTGTGCCCAAAAGGCGAGCCCCGTATTTTTTTTGCCATTCATTGTAAAGAAAAGTGCAAGGATGCCCTTAGGATGTTGACCTTTCCTCTATGTGACTTGTTATTGTCCTTAAACTTTGCCGAGTAGAATGGTTTATATGGCGTTTGTTGAGGGACAGCGGATTACAAGTAGCTCAAAATTAACTGATTTAATGCTTGAGGTGCTACCTGCGTTTGGTCAGAATTTATAAAATGCTTGGACATTGTATATTTTCAAGATATTTATAAGTTTGTTCCAACATGTTCAAAACTAGTTCTGAACTATTCTGTTTCTGTGGTCGTAAACATAACCTTGATTGGAGTGAAATTCAAATATATCAAATTTGATAGACCTTGAGATAATTTTTTGATTTTGACGTACTGTAAATCTTTTTAATGAAATGAAAACGAGATGGACGATTTAACAATAATTGATGTCTAGCTTGGACGAATATTTTAAAGTGTTTTTTACAGCTGGAAGAATTCCCCATGTTGCATGCTGCTAAAGTAGCAGAGTAGGGAACTAAGCTGAAAAAGCTATTAATTGACTTGAAATGAAAGGAGTATGTAGGATTAATATAACTAAAACATGATTGAAACCATTCATTAAATTTATCAACACTAATGCCTATGTATCTGTTCCAAAGTAATTTTCCATAAGCAGTTAAGATTTAGGTTGATATATGGAAATATTGAAAAATGCACAATATGGAAGCCTGAAAACCCGGCTTCCCGGCTGTGAAAATCTGATCGACTCTATTTAGTCTGTAAACGCGCATGTGCTAACAAATCCGAACTTTTAGTTCTCTCTTAGAACCAAAGCTGTTAGAACCAGTTTAAAACCGGTTCGGAATCAATTCGGAATTTTTTAGAACAAAGAACTGGCTGTTACCAAATAAGTTTCATTTTCTGTCGGAACGGCAAATTTGATGTGCGCATGCTCTGTGCATTTCAGAACTAGTTGGAACAGAGGTCTTAATGCAAAGTTAATAATAATAATAATTAAATATTTATTAGTCTAGGAAGTATCTTCGTTTTTTTCCCATAGTTTTATTCAGAAAGGATCGTTTTCAACGATTTTACATGTTGCCATGCCCTAAATTACGTTAAAAAATATTTATAGTCTTAAACAAATTCAAAAGATTTATGCACTCCGGATTTTTTGTGCCAATCGAACAAAAAAGTCTCTTATGAGCTTTTTTCTAAAGATAATAGTTTTCGAAACATAAGCGGTTTAATGTCTGTAAAAATGTTTCAAATATCTATTATTAAATCTCGAAGCAGTTTGGGTGGTGCGATCGTAAACGTTTGTTTTTTAATGTGCATTATGCATTAGCGCGATAGAGGTGCAGCATAGGGACGGCCTGGCCGCCAGCCGCGGCTTGGATCTCAAATAGGGTAAATAAAGTAACATTTCTCATGTTTTTCTGACAAAAACTGCAATAATACGAGAAAATATAAATTTTCTCATAAAAGCCCATGCATATTTAATACGGTTTAAGTCAGGAACTGAATCTTAGATTTAATTCAAACTGTCATATAAAAATTCCAGACATTTCTGGAAACTTTGATCAGATGCAAGTATCACATTAAATCCGGGATCTTCTTTGTACATTGTTATTTCACCCACTCAAAAGTGCTCGACTAATAATATTCTACCAAGTGATGTAATGTACTATTATTACAAAATAAGAGATTTTTATTGCAGCGGGCGGAGATATCAGCAGTGATATCCGTTTGGACATCTTCATCGAATTCTAGAACTGGTGGTCCATTTGAATCGATTTTCAGGAGCATAAAAAATTACTGAAATTTTCAATGTGCTTGCAAATTTGAAATAAAATAAAATAGGTCTATTGGTACCACTGCTAGACACGTACTAAACCAACTTTTTTTACTTCATTTTGTGTGTTAATCATTTCATTACGAATAATTGATTACATTTATTGTTTCGTTACAGGTATGTGTCAACACCGTTCCGAAAGCATTCCAAGTATCTACCAACCGTACGTATAGGTAAAAATATCAATTTAAATGTACATATCATTAAAATGTCCGTATCAACCGCGCGACACGCCTCATAAATTTGTTACAAAATTGGAAAATTTAAGAGAAATTTCCTAACTTTACATTTGCTTTCATACTTGCTATTTTATATAACGTCACACCAATGAATGGGAAATTGAGAATAGTGTATGTCGAGTCATGTATAGACAGTTTTTCAGTATTTGTAAAAACTCCCGCACTAGGAATTTGTGTTTTGAAACCGAAACCAAAGGTCAAAGCAGGATTTGACTCATGGTTCCCGTAGAAACCTTACTAGGAATGGCTTCGCCGAATTTTCTTAAAATGGTATGTTGTAGGTTTCAAAACGTCGAACAGAAGTGTCCATGGAGCCAAAGGCTTACAACAAGTAGTTTCTGAGATACAAGGGCTTCCAAGATGGGCACTCTGTACCTACTCTGTTATCACAACGCATTATGAGTTGCGCACACGATATTATATAGTTGTTGGATTTTCATATCCGTTCGTATGCGGCTCCAGTTTACCAGTATCGAAGTTGTCATATATACAGGGTGGCAAAAACCCGGATGGAGTACCGCTCCGAGACACTGAAGTAGGGTGTCCTACCAGTGAGCTGGATATCAAGGTGGTTTTTATGGCTTCCCATGTTTTTCAATTGCATATTTGGATGGTCGTTATGTCAAGCTTTTTTGAGATATTGTATATTTTGCATAAAAGGCTTGAAAATATGTCAACATGAATCTCGACCCCTTTATTAAATAATATAGTGACTGCATTTTTAACACACTTGAAACAACTTAAAAAATATATAGTAGTTAATTGAAAATTTCAAAATACACAACATTCAAATATAAAATAACAATGAATTATTGACTCTGTTCAAATATAGTAGCTAAAAATGACATATCCTTTAAAAAACTATTAAAGAGGTTGAAGTAGTTAGTTGTTGCCATATAAATATATAAAATAGACAGTTATCGTCTCAACAACTACTTGACATAGCTCAGAAGTATGCAAGTCTATCCAAATCTGTATTGAAACTAAAGGTATCTGTAAAAAACAACTTTTTGAATATTTCTAAATTGTACTCCCACAGCTGTACACAGCTGGTGTAGGAAAATCCGGACAGTTTTTGAAAAAGTTTGTGTTTTAGAGCAGTCTCCATCCATCTGTGTTTCTAAGAGTAAACCGGTGAATCAGAGGGGATTAAATAGCTTCATCACAAAATCGACTATTGAAGTGGTGGTATTTCTGATACTAGCGTTATACAAGTATCCAGCATGTGCTACCTTCTCCTAAAAGCCATGCCGAATCTAGTCTACAGTGATTGACTTACTTAATTACGAACATAGCTTTATTGGCACATCCAATCTAAAATTCATATTCTACTTTTGTCGATTTTCTCATCGCGGTGTGTTAGGAATGCACGGCCGTTTCTGATGTAATCATAATTAAAATGTATGTTGTTTCACTTTTGTCTGTTACGCTGGTTTTGCCGCTCCACATTCGCCTGTTTGGGAATTTATTAAATATAGAAAAGTACGTGAACAAGGTCAGTTTCTCAACGGTTACGTGCTGGTTTATTGCATATTATTTGATTTCTTACCTGTACATTCTTAAGTGTAACATAAAAAATACATAGGTATAGGTACCCTAGACGCCCAAGCCTGGCATTTTTTGCGAAAAATGTTACGTGTTGCTGAATTTTGGTGCGAAAATTGTCTATGACCTGAGTCACTGACTTAGAAGATAACGTACTCACTGCTAGGGCTGAATGAGAGAAACCCCAAGGAAAAGAGAATTGGGCAAGAATTATTGCCGATTTCACCATCACATGTGTAAATTGATCGGATTGGGGACACTGAAATGGCATATCACGTATCTAAACTGAGAATACTTTGATCAGTTTGTTATGGATGCAAAAGGTAACGGTTAATGACGACTGAGACAGTATTGAACCATTAAGACGCTACCTTCCAGACTATGGCCTAACATTCCCATCGTCTTGAATTTCTTCATTTCTCACAATCGCAACAGATGTTTTGTTATGTATGAGTCACTCTGAAACAAATCAATGATTTTAAAGTCTTGAAGCCACCTAGTTACGAATCAATCGCTCTACAAAAAAAACTCAGTATCCAATCCCAAAGTAACGTATATTTCTGCACTACGGGAATATAAGTCAGAGCACTCTATACAGTGCTTTTCAAAAAGGTCTGCATCGTACTTATTTTTTGAACGGGTCAAGCTAGAAAGCTGTAAATAGGGATAATGAAGTTGATGCATGAATACTATATTTTAGCGAAAAACTTTCAGTTGAAAATTTCAAGATGGCGGCTGGGCGCCATTTTGATAATTTTTTCAATTGGAATGAGATGTATTATACAGGGTGACTTCGAAGTTGAGTCATTTATTTTAACAGTGAGTAGATCTGATCAAAAGAAATGTTTTTTTCCTTTACCATTTTTCTGGTAAAATTAAAGTAACAAAGTTATAGCCCTTTGGAAGTTTGAGTACCGCCCTGTCTCAATGTGCTCGTGTTTGGCGACAACGGATATAATCCGTCGTATCGGTTCATCGCATCGGAAACAAAAAGCGAAAGAATTTGGAACGAATTATTTCATTCATTTGTATACAGTAAGTGTCAGTGAATAGTTGTATCTGTTGCGTGGCTCAAACGAAATAAAGAATGGCACATGTTTATGCGGATCGGTTTCCCAATCGAGTGCAACCAACCCCTCGTGCCTTTGTTAATGTAGTACAACGGGCTCGTGAATCAGGTGACTTAAGACCTCACAGGGGACCTCACGATCAAATACAGGTCCGCACTGAAATACTTGTCGGGAGGATACTTTATAAAACAAGGTAAAATTTTTTTTTTAATTTTTTTTTATTTTTACACACATATTTTGGTTTATATTCCTTCTACAATCATTATCTGAAAATTAATGACTCAACTTCAAAGTCACCCTATAATATAATATATCGTATATTTTTTTACTATGGAACTTTTCATTAAAAAAAATACAAAAATCTGTAAATTTTTTATAAACGGAATGACTCCTATTTTATTACGTATTCAGATAGATCCTTCAAAGAAAAAATAAGGTTGATATAACATACTATAAAGTTTCCTGATCTGTTGGTGCGTTATAACCGATTCAGTACACAAAAAAGCTTAACTGCCTGCCTGCGAGTCCACCATTTTGAAAAACAGTGATTATATACTCGAGGGCTATAAAGTAATCATCACAAGCCATGTTGAAATTTTATCAAATGTTATTTTTACTTTAAAATACAGCATTCATGCATCAATTTTCTCATCCATAATTTCAGCTCCTTAACTTGGCTCAAAAAATAAATAGGGGTTGGCACCTTTCTGAAAAGCACTGTACAGTGCATGACCTCCTAGATCCGTATTAGCTGCTGTCCTAGCAGCTTCGCAATTTTGTTTCAGCAAGATCAACGATTCCTGCGACCCCGCGTCCAATATTCAATTTGTACGGATTTTAGTTCAATATGAAAACGTCGGGGAAATTGGGAGTTCATGGTCGATACACGTTCCATACTATCCAGACTAAATTATGGGGTAGTGGGGAGTTTTTATAGTGCGACGCAGAAACGTTAGGTTTTATTCAAATGCGTAAATGGGAAAGAATCGTTCCAATGGAGTTTTTGACTAAACAAACTTTCATTTCAGAACATTATTATGGTTTTAAGTTTTAAAATAAGAACTGTACAAGGTCCAGTTTCGCAATTTCTATCATTTATTATATATATTTATAACAGCTCAGAATATGTTTCGCATATCCAGTCATAAAATGTATTCATATTTTCTTATAGTTTTATGGCTCATTTCAATCAAGATGTGTAATGTTCGGTATGGAATGATTAGCGTAGCTGCACACATTTTTGTTGACCTATGCAATTTGTACATTCTCTCCTACATCGTAAAACATACCAATCAACATTCTGACGGCACTCTCTTCTAGGGTTTACTCCCAATCAATTCAGTTTCACATCTCGCAGTTTTACTACTTCTCAGTACTCAATTTGCACCCCCAACTTCATTCGCCTTAGCTTTTTATTTATATCGACAGAATAGTTGAAAATTAGTTCTTCAAACTCCGAGAATAGTCTGGATCGATAAATCCAGGAAACTAAATCCCCTCATACATTTATATCTAAAAATGCTTTCAAGTAGTGACAGCGACGACCAATTTTGCTCCCGGAAAATATCTGAGAAAGATGACCTATCATCCCCTATACTTGTCTGGCTAATAAAACCGCATGTATTGACAGAACCTTTTTTCTGTAAACGTTTCAATCACGAAGGTGATCTTCAATACAATGACGATATGTTTCATTTATATGTCTTCCAGGTGGTGATTGACACGTTTACAGTAAAAAATACTCGTCAATACATGAGGTTTGCTTGGCCAAACGAGCATGAGGAATTATAGACGTGTAAACCACAGGTTACGTTTCAGATGTTACATTAACCAAAGATAACCTATCCTCACGAGAGTTCATCACGTTTTGACGTCTATTGACGTGAATAACTGGTCACGAGTTGAGGTACATATTTTAATGAAAACACCGTTTTTACTGTTCAAAATCTAATTTAATTTATAACACTTGAACTAATTTATAACAAATTTATAACCATGTCGGCTGGTCTATGATGATGCATCGGCCGCTTCTCGTTGACAGTCCCTCTGGTGTGGGAGACTGGGTTCTAATTTTGAGTTCAACGGTTCCAGAAGATGTCGACTGAAATTCTTCAATGATGCCGCAATCGCTTTCGCCCAGCCGCGTAATTCTGGTTGCCTAGGCTTCGGTGTTTCTGGACACCTGTTGGATCTTTTGGCCGATAAACGAGGGTGCCTCACTGGTACCCAAAGTTCCAGTTATACGAAGGCGTTACAATTTTTTTCACGAAAGTGTATAAGCCTTGGATCTTGCAAAGTTGTTAGTTTGTCTACTAGAAAGAAAATTCCTGACGCTCTTAAGAGAGCAACGATCTGCAATTACTGCCTAAACTTTTTCCTAAACTAAATGTCCCATATTTCATGCACATGTACAGAAAAATCTTTGAGGGTGACGGTTCAAAAAACAAAATGGCAGAGATGTCAATAATTGATAAGATGCTTGTGAAGGCGACTTCCTTGAAAGCTCAGCCATCAAGGAAGCTTCCTCGACAAGCTCCTACAGTTCGACTAATTTAGAAAGAGAAACCACCCAAACATGAGAATAAATCAGAGTAGAAAAAAGTAAAGACGAATCTGCAAATAGAATGATTTAAATTGTGATGCATATAACATTAT